TCACATTCAGGGCTTTCCAGAGATACCAAATGATTGGATGTTTCACCATGACCACTCCCTCTCCTTGGTCTTTAAAAATGGCTGACATTAATTTAGTGATCAAGTGTAACACCCTTATGGAAATATGATAATATTTTGTAATTATCATTTAAATCTGACAAATGTTCAAATTGTTTGTCATAAATCAACATCTCAGGAAAATGTTATGGGGTTTCAAATCAAAATATGACCCTCTGTTATAAAACAGGACATCAGTTTCATACATGTCCACTGTAGAGGACACCAGGACTTAAAGCATGTTTATTACACATTTTGGAAGACACAACAAATGAATAGAGAAAAAATAATGTATCAATATTCTTATTAAATATTAGATATTATTATGAAAATCATGCTAATTATTACTCCCATTATTGCACTTATGTGTTCATTCTATGTTGCCCCAAAAACACATTAATATGCAAATTACATACAGTTTATAGATACATTGTATATAATGGAACAACTTGTTTATGGCCATTTTACATACATTTTGCATAAAGAAAAATGGGTTTTAAAAATATCTTTCATAACATAGTTGAGAATCGTCTTTATATAAAGTTTGTTATAAAAAATTAAAATTGATTTGTGATTAAAACAAAAATCCGACTGTTTTTGCCTTTTCATGTCTATTCATGTCTTTTTATTTCTTAAAAAAACAGGACTTTTTAAAGTCCCGATGTCTTCTACAGAGGACATGGCATAACATATTAATAAAATATCATTTTTCAAAAATTGTATTTTTCACATTTTTTCTTATGCTCTAAACCAGTTTATATCACGGGTGTAATATCACCCAACCGGGGTGCCGTCTGTCGAGAGCATGGGTGCCATGTAAAAAATCATTTTTTAATATTGTTAAATTGCTAAAATGTTCAAAAAAGCATCTATTATATAATATCCATTTCTGATGTCGCCAATAATTAGAGATGCTTAAAATTTCCAAAGGGTGCCGCGACTAAAAAAAGGTTGGGAAACACTGCTCTAAACAATGTAATGACATGACAAAATACTAAATTCACAAAACTGTTTTTTCCTGGTAGTCAGGAGGCTATAGAGTAAACTCTATTTTAAAATACATATCCAATGTGGTAAACTTATTTTAATGTTTCATTTACGCATTGTTGCTTGATGGACCTGTTTTTGCATTTAACATAACCTCTCCTCCTGTCTATCCATGCTACGTCTTCATTTTCCCTGAAAACAGACTGTGGGCCAATTTCTTTGTTTCATAACAAAGGCCCGGTGATGTCATCAGAGTGCACATGCAGACAGAGCAGAGGAGGAGGAGGTTAAAGGGCCGGTGGACAG